TTCTTTAAATCAGCTCAGATTCATTCACTCAATGATTAATACATAGATAAATGAAAAATTCTTGAAAAAGCACAAACTAGGATTCACCGGAAGGCCCAGGCTCTGGCTATAAGACACACAACCAGACTTCTGGGGAATCTCTGATGTCTTGGTGTATCTGTGGGAAAAAGGCAAATGTTCACATCAGTGAATTGAGGGAAGGAGAACAAAGAGCGTCTTTAAGGGCACTTCTCTGTTGTGCTGTTACAGGAGGTGGAATTGTCCAGAAACCTTAGTACTTTCTTTCTCAGTGGTAAGAGCATGGTATTTCTGATGCTCTCAATTTGGGCGTACAGAAGAACAATCCCAGCAATGACAACCATACAAGCAGGGACCGGGCAAATGTAAAAGGAGGGCCACCACACATTCAACAACTAATCCAGTCAGCCAGGAGCACAGGAATCCAATTTCCTGGGTGTTTTACCTTGCAGAGACATGATGAAATGGGCCTTTGAAGTTTGTACCCAAAGAATTATAATAAGACTTGTGAAAGTCAGAATCAGTATAAAGTGAAAACCTTTCAGAGAAGGAAAGCTCAAATATTTTCCACTAAGAGACAGTAGAAAAAAGGGCTAAGACTGCACACTCTCTAAGGCAGAAAACACGTGCGACCCAGAAAAACAAGGCTGTCTTGCTGAGTTCCAGCTCTCACAGGTTTGAGGGCGTATCCTACTTTCTCAGCAACTGACAAAAGAGGCAGCAGCGCTAGAACAGGAGAAAGAGCTAAGAATTAGCTACTAGACAGGAGTTAGGGTAGCTAATCCCTTGCTCTAGTTAGACAGCAAGCCTTTCCCATTAGGTAAAATAATGGCCCACAAAGCTGTTCCTGTCCTGATCACCAGAACCAGAGAATATGTTAGATAACACGACCAAAGAACTTTGCAGATGTGACTCATCTTTTCACAACATGGGAAGACCACGTTGGATTATCTGCTTGGGCCTAATTTTATCACGTGCCATTACAAGTAGAGAAACTGCTGACTATGGTCAGAGATGTGAATAGGCAAGAGTGATCAGAGATAGCAGCAGTGCTGGCTTTGAAGAGGGA